GACTCTTGTCATTGCAACTCCACGTCGTGATAACATTTCTGATTTGTCATTTGACATCTTCAGGTTTCCGATTGGTGAAACTAAGACTAAGAAAAATGGTTACAATGATCTACAAACTAAAATACACAAAACTAATATGGATTGTGTCTGCCATGCTCGACATAGTTGCATCTAGCAATAGTTAGAGGCAGAACAAAATCGAAGAACTCAATCACTCAATAACATTAAGACAAGTCATTAAACCAAATGTGAAAAGTCTATATTTGAGATGCGTCGTAGAAATCTCCATACCACTTCCTTGACAACCATAACATGTCATGGAAGCCATGAACTTAGACCATTTCCTGTAAAACTAAGAGATAGTTATAAATATATGCATATGGTTTTGTACAAGTAGTATATTTCATAAAGATCATTTCATGTGGATATTTATTAGACATGAATATGTTTAATTAACATATACTATTATGATACCATGAATAATTAATTTCAGACCTTTCTATTCTAATTCAGAAAGGAAAACATAATTGAAAAAAACAAATATAATAACAATTAGGCAAAAAGAACTTTAGGCCAATATATCTATAAGATAAAGAATGAAGGAGGTAACATTAACAATCGCAAAGCTAAACGTTTTCTACGCTTGAATGAATGAATACAGTCCAAACTTAGTAGATACATTCTTTATCTAGAATTGGTCCAGGCTTTTCTGTTGATGAGATTTGGGATTGTAATAGTATGTTATGTTGTTTTACTATCACTTTTTTGCCATTCCATTACATGCGTTGTTCAACCTAAGATGCATGTAATAGAATTTCAATGAGTTTCATGTGAGTCGAATTTCTGAATTGAAAGATTTTTCTCATTAACTTTAACTATATACAAAATAGATGTAGACAAATTTATTTAATATAAAAAAGTATAAAACACTGACCTGAGTTTCTTTGACAGTGTATGTCTCAAGAAAGTTTATGATGCATAGTTCTGCACAGATTTATAATCAAAATAGAACTGTGAAAACAATAACGAAAACGTAAACGAAAAGGAATATGAGAGGAAGAAATATGCTTATGATGAAGAAAATCGATTTCATAAATCCATTTGTAAAAATAAGTTTATGATGATGAAAACCATTTTATAGATGAGAGAAAGAAATAAGCATCCATTTTACATATCTATTTGCAGAAAATCGAAAATGAGAGGAACAAATAAACTTATGATGATGAAAACCTAAGCTTTTTATTGTTACCTTGTTTTCGGTGCACCCAAACTTCTTCTTTTGTGTTGTGTTCATCACTCATAAGCAACAACAGTGACTTTTCATTCCTATACCTAGGGTTTGAAGGGAAAAGAAGAGAAGGAGAAAGATGGATGGTGAAGAAAAAAAAGGGGAGAAATAAGAAATAGTAAGTGAGAGAGAGAGAGAGAGAGAGAGAGAGAGGTAGACGAGAAAAGGAGAGAATGTGAGGGAAAGAGGAAAGACGAGAGTGAGAGGGAAAAAGACCAATCAAACCAATAACAATTTTTGAGAGAGAGAAACCATTGCAAAGGGGATATAGTTGCCACTTCGCAAAAACCTTGTTTTTTATTGGGAAATGAAAGGTGTATTTAGTCAATTACATAAAAGGGTATTAATCAGTGTAAATGAAATTTTAGTTAAAGATTAATTTAGGGTGTTTAGTGGTATGTCTCAATCTTAGTTAGGTATTTGAAGAATTATGTTTAAACAAGTTTTACACGTGCCTAAAATAATAAACGGTACAATTTCATAAGAAGTTGTTTAAATATATTTAGCAAAGTAAAAAATTCCATTTGCTGGGAAAACCAATGCCTCCATATTATATCTTATTTTTGTCTTTATGTTTGGCCAAATTAAGCTGCAACATGGGGGGTACAATAGTGTATGTCCATATCAATTTTCTGAATAAACAATGAGAAAGCACAAAAAAAATCGTGAGTTGTAAAAACACTAATTCAAGTGATGAACACGTTACACATTTGTGTTACCAAGTTACATATGTAAAATGAGTATTTATGGGAAGTTGAAAGTTACTATGTCAAAAGGTGTGTAATAGGTCACTGTTGCAGTGAAAATTGGAGAGATTAAGCTGTTGAGAAATTTGACTCACAAAGACTTTAGAAGTCTCCACCGAACTTTATTGTTTCTAAGGGAAGACTAAAAACAAAACATAAAAAAGAGATCTAGGTACGGGGTTAGTTTATACAAAAAGAAGTTATTAGCATCCTATGTATCTATAGTATTCTATATAACCACCTATAATATTGGTTTTTGGTTTAAAATTGTTTATTTCGCAAAAAAAAAAACGAGAACATTCACCAAAGGAAAAAATAGAACCCATTTTTAACAAGAAACGTAAACAAAATTGGAGCGTAAGTTCAATGAACGGACCACAAGGTAGCGATTGGTGAAGACGAATCTGAAGGTTGTATTATGGGTGAAGAGTGACATGGATGTTAGGGTTATGTGTTGATGGGATATTTCACAAGTGCACGAAAAGTATCAGAGTAATATAAAGAGTGTCGAATCCACAAAGACCAATAGTCAAATCTATCGTTACTTATTTCTACGGTGTTTATGTAAGGCGGATAAAATTAAGTGTTTTGAGTTGTGAAAACAAAGAAGAATAATAATAAACTTGAATTAATAGCAATATCAATTAGAATGCGGATGAATTAAGAATAGAAAGAAAATAAATTCGGACTAGTTATGCTAGAATGTGATTCTCATCAATTGACGGTAAACTTATTATTTCTAAATAGGATTTCTAACGGGGCAATATTTTCTACCTTGAAAAGAATTAATTAAACTGGAATTGTCACTTTCGCCTATTCAGAACCGAATTTTACTCTCTAAACTATATCATCCACTGTCACGGTGATAGGCACTTTATGCGTAAAAGTAGTCAAACCTATTTTAAGAAATTGAATTCTTTTGCTATGATGAAAAGCAATTAAGGTTGGAAAGTTTAACTTAAAAGGGTTTCATGCTTTCGCTTAGGTAATCGGATCCTAAACCTATAAACGCGTGCGTTCGTAAATAGTTTTTAAAATCACTTTCTAGAAATATTAGACTTTCCTAATTAATTACTAAAGTGCTTTCGCGGTATTTATTAACCAGAAATAAACCAATTTCATTCTTTAGTGTCAGACAAATTTCGATCTTACCTGACATTTTCACTGCCCCACTTTTGTAGACACGGGTTAAAATTAAGTTTAGAAAAATTGTATTAAAACCAAAACAGCACACAATTGAAATCCTAAAGAAATAAAATACATGGTACCATCAAATGACGGTTCTTACACTCCAACACTAACAAATTAGTCGGACATAGTTATGGTAAACAAATAAACAATTAAATTGGATTCAAATTAAGCATAATGGCAAAAGGATAAAAGTAGTTTTGAAAACAAAGGCGAGGAAAGTAATGCAAGGAAAGTAAATAGACAAGGCAGATAAAATATAAATAAAGCTGAATTAAATAAGAATTTGCTCCAATTAAAGACTTCAATCCGGTATAATGTAAATATATGGAAACAAACTTCGCCGAAATATAAATGACAGCAAGATTAAATAAATGCGGAAGACAAAGGTGCTTCAAACTTGACACGCGAACAAAATGTGATAACCCCTCGATGTGACAAGTTAAAACTCTAAGAATACTGAATTTTATGGCTTATGTTTGTGCCAAGCTTGGATGATTGTAAAAGGAGCCTAAACCCCTATTTATAGAGTTCTAAAACCATAAATAATGAAGTCAAGGTAGTTGAGGTCGTGGGAGAGAAGGTTGGAAGGAGTGGGAGACCAATTCAAAGATGGCATTTTTGCGCTTTTATAAAGGATGGCGAACGGCATACCCATTGTGGCGAACACCACAAGTTCAATTCCTACATGACTTGGCCTTTGGGCTTCCAGAACGTGACCTTCACTTGCCACGTCACGGCCACCTCTGTGGAAAACGCCATGGAGAACACTGTGAGTGCAAATTGTACATTTTTTCTTTGTTTTTGGTCCGTTTTGCTTCGTTTCTTCACATGCGACTCTTAAATGGCCGAATATCGAAAAACAACCAAAATACTAGAATAATAGTGGAAATGTAAAACAAATGTCAGTAAAGCATGCATAAATCGAGTCAAATAAACAGTGTAATTTGGTGTTATCATGTGTTGAGAGAGAAAATAAAAATATGTTAGGGTTTTCTTTAGAGAGAAACGGCTGTTATGTACTAGGCGACATATACTTTCGTTTATATATTAAAAAAATATCACTTTTCATTACAGTTGACAAGAAGAACCGTGATGCAATGATTAGACTTTACACCACGGTTGAAAAGAATAACAGTAATGATATACAAGGAGCTGGAAAAATGAAGGAATTGAAATTCGAACCTTGTAACTCCTGATATATATCACTACGGACTTTAACATAGACCGTAGTGAAAATACCTTTTAGTAAAAACCAAAAAAGAAATCGCTCAAAATTGTGTTTCTAACACGATTGTAGAAAGATCGTTGTAATATTATTTGATAAAAGATATTTTCCATAGTAGTACTACTAAACAACTTTATAAAATAAAATTAAAAAAAAAATCATAAAAATTATGAAAAAATTCAGTTTATTTTCTTAAAAAAATATTTGCTTATATTTACCATTGAAATTGGTGTTCAAGCAAATAATATAAAAAATATGTTTTAAATTAATTACACTGACAATGTCGCATTGTATTTCAATTAATCTTTTTAAAAAAAAAGTTAAAAGTTAAATATAATGGATCACCATTTCAATTGAGAAAGAAATATTTATTTAATTTTTTATACAAAAATCTTTAAAATATTTTTTATTAAGTAAAAATAACTTTTGAGTGAGGCCCAAACCTTTATTAGTATTTAAGAATTTCATAATGATGTTTCTATTTAAATTTCTTCCCAAAAAAACTTCATTAATTTTGTTTTAATTAGTAAATCAATAAATAACATTATTAATGGCCCAATCTAAGCCCAAAACAAACAGCAGCATTTTAACCTTAACATCAGCAAAAGCTGTCTCAATCCTACTCCATCATCATCGTCATCATCCTTCCCCTGTTCAGTGTCAAAGCTTCTCCCATTTCTCATTCTCACTGCATGCATGCGCTTCATTCCCTCTTCAAATTCCATCTGTGAGTATTTTACACTTTTCAACATTGTTACTTTTGCTCAATTTCGTGAACTCTTCAGAATCACCAAAAAAAACCCTTCAATTTCATGTAATTTTTTCTATTGCATTACAAATTTCATTCATTTTTCACAAACCCTAACATTTTTCTTGCAGAATCATGTTCTCACCTTGACAATATCCAATACAATGGATCATCATCAACAACCTAACAAATACCCAACCACGTTAGCATTAATAGAATCCAATACCCTAAAATCTGATAAACCTAACGATGATCAATGTTTTCTCCTTTACTTCATCATGGGCACATACTTTGGTCCTCACATCAATGGTGAGAAAAAATCAATCTTGCAAAGAGTAGCTGAAGGTCTTCCTTCTTACACACGTGATCAGTTAACATCTTCTTTCATCAAAGTAGCTGAATTGGAACGTATTTACTATTACATACTTAGGAATGTTGATAAGTCTTTAACTGTAAAGTTAAGTTTTTTTCGCAGCTACGTTAAAGGGTTGTTAGAATGTTCGTCCAATTGCAATTACCCTCGGTTTACTGATTTGTTTCCGCTTGAATTGCATCCTCAATTTAAGTATAAGTGTCAGTTTAAAGTTATTGACAGTATTGTGTTTATCGAACATCCTGAAATGTTTTGCCTTAATCCTGAGGAGGTTGAGAGGTTTAAGAGACTGAGTGGGGTTGAAGATTTTCTTGTGGACAAAGATGCTGCTAGGCTGTATAACCATTTCGATGGTAATGGTTTGCGTAGTAAGGTTAGGAAAACTAGTAGTAGTTGTCGAAAAGTAGATGAAAGTGATGATTTTTCTGAGCTCAAGTATCAAATGCCACATGCCCATGTCGTGAAGCCTATTAGGAGTATACCGTTTAATGATGGTATGGCTCTTGGAGATGAAGGTGATGATTCTGATAAAGTTGATGTTCCGGCGGTGTTGTTTCTTCCTTCTCGTCCTACTAAGAAGGAATGGTCTGACATTGTGGCTGCTACTAAGAATGGTTTTGCGTTGACGGGAAGTGCGGCTACGGGGCGGGTTGGGCCTATCATAGGACTTGTAGACATTGGAGAGTGTGAAGACGCGTACCTATTTCGCATGTCTCTCCCTGGCGTGAAGAGGGATGAAAGTAAGTTTCTTTTTGAATCTTCAGTCATATAATTGCTATTCATTTAATCTTCTATGCTACAAGTACTTGAATTTTAGGAATGTCTCTTTCATTTCTGTGTTTGTACATTTTCTGCTATGAGATTTCCATTAATGACTGCAGAGGAATTCAGCTGTGAGGTTGACACCAATGGAAAAGTATTGATACATGGAGTGACCATAACAGGAGAGAAGACGGTAACAATGCACTCTCAGGTGTTTGAAATGCAAACTCAAAACCTTTGTCCACCAGGCCATTTCTCAGTCACATTTCAGCTACCGGGCCCTGTTGATCCGCATCAGTTTTCAGGTAATTTTGGCACTGACGGGATTCTTGAAGGAGTGGTTATGAAAGGCAAATTAGGCGATGACTAAGTTCTGTCCAATTAGAATTCTTCTTTTAATTCCACCTAGAATGTCAAGAAAAATGTGATTTTGAGTAACAGCGTTATGTATAGTTTCGTATCTTAACGGTATTTATTTTTTGAGATTCTGTTACATCCTTAGAAGATCTATTGACATTCTCTTTCATGTAGAAGACAAGAAATAGTCATGACATGACTAGTTAATCAATTTTGTGGACATGTAAGAGTGCTTGAATATAGTAAATTATTTTGAGAGAAGGTTGCATACTGAAGTGTTTATAAAGTTTGTTTAAGATGTACTATGCCAATATAATTTTACATTTTATTTTCATCTCTATTAGGGGTGTGCATGGATCAATAACCAAACCAAATTGAACCATATATATGATTTGGTTTGGATCTTAAAACCACTTCATTAAAACCGGTTTATATTTCTAAAACCGGTTTACATGTGGATCGGTTTGGTTTTGAACCGGTTTCTCATAAAAACCAGTTTTAAAAAAAAAAACAATTTTAAACCGGTTTTTCTAAAAACCAATTTTTAATTTAAAAAAAAAAAAATCAATTTCAAAACAGTTTTATAAAAAACCAGTTTCAAAATCAATTTTATAAAAAAAAAAAACAGTTTTAAAACCAATTTAAAAAAATAAAGTTTTATATCAAAAATAGTTTTTTATTTTTAAAAGTTCTAAAATTATTTTATGTTAAAAACACTAATTTAAAAAAATATATCTATTTTGATTTTTGTCCAAATATCTCTTTCAAGGTTGTTATAGCTTCTCATTATTTTGGAAAAGAAATGTAGATCCATTATCATGATACATATTGTAACTACCACAAACACACAATCACAGATTTTTGATGGATTTATTTTGAAAAACCTGAGGCATCATAGTGTATATATACTTGAGATAATTAAGAGAAAATCATAAAACAATAAAACAACGCAAGAGGGAATTAGGTCATCATCTTCTCTAAATTATCAGACTTAATCTTATTTTTTGGAAAAAGAATCTCTCATGCCTCATGTCTTCAGCCACCCGTCAAACTCGTGAGAAATTATGAAAAATAAATAATAATAAAAAATGAGTGCTAAAGTAGGGATGTGCATGGTTGTCAAATCAACCCGAATTGAATCAAATATATGGTTTGGTTTAATTCTTAAAAACTGTTTTTGTAAAACCGAATTATTTTTTCAAAACTGGTTTATATTTGGATTGATTCAATTTAAAACCGGTTTCTACTAACCACCTGTTTTTTATTTGATTCAGTTAAGATTGGTTTTTCTTAAAATTAATTACATCAATTTTTTGTTTTAATCTTTTTTTTTTTGCTTAATCGGTTTGAAACTTTTATGCATACTTTGCTGGAAAATATTGGAAGGTTCAGTCAACATATTTTATTTTACTGTGTTATTTATTTTCTAATAATATTCGATATGTGAAGAGTTTTTATTAAGTAGGTTTGGTGTTTGATGTTGTATATATAATTGAAATTTGGTTATAGTATTATGAAAGTTGAATTTCAAAATGGAGATTCATGTCTTAGATTGATAAAAACTCAACTTTCATTATTGTGTTGTCATTCAAACACATTTGCACGTAAAATATATTATAGTGTATTTTTAAAACTAAAAGAATAATATTTATTGTAATATATTTAATGTTGGAATCTAAGAAAAAATTAACTGTCATTCTAGGTATTCAATTTGTAATGGTTCGGTTTTAGCTATGTTGGAAATTTAGAGAGATACTTTTAATATTTGAGTAAATTAGTAAATTGGATCAGGAACAATAACTGAATTTCAATAAAATAGGTATCCAATGTTATTGGTTTTTCTTTAAATGGAATGGGTTAGTTAATAACCAAATGATTTGAATTTTTTATATTTGGAAACCAATTTTATGGTTATGGATTGGATGAACCGGTTAAAATGCACACCCCTAATCTCTATCAAGTTTTAGGTCAAAGTTATAACCCAGCCTTCCTTAAGGGTGGGGGGTTTTCTTGGAGTTCCTATCAATAATCTGCAGCTAGAGGTCACAGCTGTTGGATTCATCCAAATACTGAGTCCTTTGATTCTGACCTCTGGCTAAAGAGCGTGTATTTAGCATCGACTTAAAATTTATTTTGTGGTTCTATATTCCCTTCTTTGGATTAGCATAATTTAGAGGAACTTGTAAATTTTATCGAGATATCTGATTAATTCTTTCTTCGAGGTAACTTAAACACAGAAGAACTAATTCTGTTTCCAAGATACCTTATCCTTTAAGCTAAATTAGAGTAATTGTGAAGATTAATTCTGTTTCCAAGATTCCTTATCCTTTAAGTCGCAAAGAAAGATTCTATATAAAATAGAGTAAAAGGGGAACCTAAACTCAAAACCAATGCCTCCTCTTACTCTTAGTCTTTACCAGAAACCATTTTTAAGACACCATGGTCCAAAGCTGGAAACTTCACCCGTTCCAAATAGTCCAAATTACCTACATGATAGATAGCCAAATTAGAGTTAATCCTATCATCATGTTATCGAAACCCCCAATAAGAAAGAAAAACTAAAATAAAAAACAATGCGAGGATATTCTCCCTCTCAAGCCATCTACAAATCTACAAACATCACACTAACTAAAACTAGCATAAGACAATTTTAAGGTTAACTGAAGATTTTTAGTAGAGGCAAGGTCAATCGAGTATAAGCACAATAAAACAAGAGTCAACTGAATTTTTATCAAGTTTATTGAAACTTATCATGATTGTCAAATCAAAGACTTTAGATTTAGTCAATATATAATACGACTAGATAATTGAGATTTAAAGCCCATTACGTGTTAATTGCACCGCTAATTAAATACAAAATTAAAATTTGTTGAACCACTGGTTGAAAATTGTGCACACAAGAACAAAAACGGCAAGAAATAGGAGACGCAACACCTTAAAAATCCCAATGCAGCATAAGGTGTCACGCAAACACAACTTAAATTTGTTCTATAACACATGTTAAATGAAACATATAATAACTTAACCACATGTCATCGTATATTCACCTTTACATAGATTCATCGTAGCAGAATTAAGTAAATAAGGTAACTCAATAAAGAATTAAGTTTCATGATACTTTCTTTTGAGCATAAAACATGGTTATGACATAATGTCTTAAACATTAACATCGCAAAACATAACGAGTTATAATGTCTTAACTCTCGCATCATTTGAGCATAAAACATGGTTATGACATAATGTCTTCAACATTAACATCGCAAAACATAACGAGTTATAATGTCTTAACTCTCGCATCATTTGAGCATAAAACATGGTTATAACATAATGTCTTCAACATTAACATCGCAAAACATAACGAGTTATAATGTCTTAACTCTCGCATCAGCAATGGCAAAATAGTATAAAGAAAACAACTCATAAACATTCGTCCGTCTAGTGTTAAAGATCAGAGCAACAGAAACTAAAGCACATAAAAACGGGAAAAGAAGAATATCCTCAATGTCATCCTTCAGCTTCTAAGTCGCTACTTATTTACCTGCTCGTCTGTACTCTACAGGAGCACATACACCACAACAAACAAAAGGGGGTGAGAATACACTCAAAATATGTTAGCGGTGTTGTTCAAGTGTGTCTTAAAACCTTTGTTGATAAAGAGAAAGAATATTTTGGAGATTGCATAAACCGCGAAAATCATAAATTCCATAAAGTTCGTAAAAAATGTCGAAAATCATAAATAGAAAAACATTGGGTCAGGAGTCGTCGGAGCAGCAGAGGCACTAGGACGCAAAGGCTGTTGGCGGGCCGGAATCGCAGATGGCGGTCGAAATCGCGACGACGCCGGTAGGAGACGGAGGCAGCGACCGACAATTTTCAGCGGCGTCGGCGACAGGCCAGTACGATCGGAGACGGCGGTCCGTACGACCGACGATAGTGGTCAACGGTGGAGTCCGTGCGGTCGGGCGTGGGTCAATTCGTCTGATTTCGGATTTCCTGAAAAATAGACAATTTATCGATTTGTGTGTTTTGGACTTTTTTGGTTCGGTCCATGGATCCATTTGTGAATGAGTTGTATTTTTTGGGCTTTGTTTGTTGGTTATTTGATATTATAAATATTTATCTTTTTGTTGTTTGAAAGCGTGACCATCTTAAAGTTTACAATAAAAGGTTAGAGCAAAGGGTTTAGGGTCTTCTCAAGGAAAATCTTAGAAAGACAAAGGATTAAGGAAATCTTTGGAGTTATCTAAGGGTATTGGGAAACACTTGTTACACATTGGGCTTGTGTGTTTACATTATTGAGAGTTGGAGAGATTGAGAAACACTTGGGATACAAAATAGTGTTGTTCTTGGGCACATTTAGGTTATTCTTGGGAACTCCGAAGGCATAGGCTATTTCTTTGTAACTCATATGTAATCTCTTGTAACAACCCTGACAGTAGTGAATTGGAGAATTTCTCTCTCCCCTGGACTAGATCTTTTGATCGAACTGGATAAACAAATATTTTTCGTATTTTTCTTCGCCTTATCATGGTATATCTTTTGTTTATTGATTATCATTGTTGAAGACCATTTATTTTAGTTGCTACTGTTCTTTGTCTCACATATTAAAATTGAACCTTATCGTTATTCACAACAAGTGGCGTCCACCGTGTGGCAAATGGGTATTGTTTACAAGTGAGCATCATGGGTGGATGGGAGATCGAGAAATTTTCCAGAAACAACGACTTTAGGTTGTGGAAAGTTAAGATGCGAGCAATTTTAATTCAAGAGAAGTGTATCACTGCTTTAAAGGGTGAAGCATTGATTCCTGTCAGACTTAGACATGTATAGAAGATCGAGATGGTGGATAAGACCAGAAGTGCCATTATCTTGTGCCTTGGGGATAAAGTTCTAAGAAAAGTCTCTAGGGAGCAAACTGCGGTGGTTATGTGGGTAAAACATGAATTATTGTATATGACCAAGTCTTTGGCTCACATGTTGTGTATAAAACAACAACTCTATTCATTCAGAATG